ACATTCGTTCTAGGACTCACACATAACCAGCTGATCGCCGTGTGATTGGGCAATGTTTTTCTCCCATTCTTTTTTCGTTTGTTATTCTTTTTGCTGCTGCATCCCTTATTTAGTTTCCTATTTGCACCAGGATCCACACGCACGCAATGACCCACATTGTATAGCTCGTCCAAAAGCCCCACTCTTCTTCATTCTTATGGTCTCATTCTCGTTAACCACCCTTTTAATGATCTTTTGAAACCTTTTCTCACTTCGGAAACGCCGAGTTACGCACTTTCTTCGCGTTCATCTCACTATTTTCCATCGTATCTTCCATTTTTCGTCATAATCCTTATTACCCGAAATTATCGTGAACCGCGCCATTAATCCATTGACAACCGCGTGGCCCGCCAGCGGGCCACGATAATATTTGCACTATTTTTTTATTTTTGGACCTTTTCATATTTTTTGACCCTTCCAACTACCAGCTAGCTCACAGCCTTCTGGAGAAGCTTGAGACGTTGTGGTCCATGAATCACTTACTTACAACCAAAGTTATGAGAGAAAACAAAAGTTTGTGGAAGAAAAGTACTAAAGGGAACAAAATCAAGCGTAATCAATTGATCATTCACACATATTACATGTAATTGTTTGGGAAAACACTCCAAACTAAATTTTTGTGACACTTGGAGCATTTTGATTGGATCGTTTTGGCATCATTTACAAACACACCTACTTCTTGGGGTGTTCCATGTAGCAAACAGAGCATATTCTTCGGCAGTTCTTTCAGAGGGATGCTTTTCGAAAACACTCCGAAGTAAGGGTTACAAGGTTTATCACAAGAAAGCTATCTGCCTCTAGTCAGTCTATCAGAGATTCGAGAACAAAATTCGTCTCTCGTGTCTAGACAGAATTCTATATGATGATTTATTGGATCTTTATCCCTCACGCCACAAAGGTTCAGAGATAAGTTAAACAGTTCCCTATTTCCTGTAGAGCCTAACAAAGAAACAGTGGATGTCGTTTTACACACAAATTCTTTGAAATATAGTTCCAATAAAATGTTACAGAAGAAGTGCTAAGTCATCCGTAACGTAGCGCGTACGTTTTGTGGATAAGTTATCACTTTCTGTGACATTTTAATAGAACTATAACTCAAAGAACGTGTGCGCGAGAAACTCAGTTGCTCCTGGGACCGTGTGGCCCGCCAGCGGGCCACAGCAACAGCCCGTGAAAAGCGTGCTCGGTTCCACACGCAAGACATGCTCAAAAAGCGCGGTCTCCAATGGGTTAAGCCAGCACCAACATTTCATAGTAGAAAATGTATCTGTTTTTCTCATCGTAATGGGACCGCTGCAGAGACTGGCCTAATAGCAGTATTACATGATGATATGTGGACAGGGGATGAGGTGCGTCGTGGAATATAGAAAAAGAAATTTGGGAAAACGACTGCTTTTGATGGGCACCAATCGAGGTAGAGAAGGGGCACGGAGAGCAAGGAACCAAGTGGCTCAACTGAACTTTAAACAACATGACCACATATATGTGGAATAGCACTAAGGTTTTGCCAAAAAGATCTACAAAACAACACTAGTCAAGTGAGGGAGATGTAGCGAGAAAAGCGTAGACCCTGTCTAGTTCCTCTCCTTATAAAACGGACTAATTGATAGAGCAATAGTGACCACATTCTACGCTGATGACATCGCTCTGGTAGTGTAGAGTAAAGGAGAACTTCAGGACAAGCTAACGAATTAGAAGAAAGGTTGGGCTCGGAAGAATATGGAAGAAAAGAATGTGATGAAGATCAATTACCTCATTTCCAAGGGTACACAGCGTTATTGAAAGACACTTTTGGGAAAGCTATAAGGACGGTAGCTATCAATGAATTATGAACGAGTAAATTTTGCTTTTGAAGGTGCACGTGAACCAATGGCTTCTACAGTGCAGCACCCATTGTCAGATTTGTTCGGTTGTTACTTTTACCTATCACCAATCATCCAAGACCGGGACATCCCACTCCCAAAGTGCGAAGGCTCTGCTGATCATGTAAAAGGCGCATTCGATCCGTCAGAGCCTACCAAGGGCTTTCAATTTTGATTTCGGGTCGAATTCGCGCATCAGCACGAACACACACACCGATACACCTAAATTGATTTCGCCGTCGTTCGATTTTCCTCAACCGTGTTCGTCGCTTTCTTGTCTTGTGCGTGTTCTTCCTTCTGGTTCCTCAATTTCTGCTACCTGCATCCTATCCCGCATTAGAAGCTCTTATCTTCCAAAGTATGAATCGACATGTCTTCTGCTCACCACGCGCGACCCACCAGATTTCTCATTATTGTCTCGTGCCAGACAGACCATGGTGTGGAGCATCTTGACGTGACATTACTAGATGCAAGAAAGTTAAGGTTCTATACGCACATTTTCACTAATACTCTTTCGCTTCATGGTTCTAAAGGCAGACAGTGCCAGCCATCCTACCTCGTCGGATACTTATCCTCTGCTCTTTTCATCTACATTATTTGTCCATTGTTAGTTGTGGGAAAATACTAGTATCAGGACAGAGCCCTTCTACAGTAAGCAGACGCATCAGATTTCAAGGTTGTTTTGTGTTAATTGTTGGAGTATGGTTGGTATAAAGAACGAGGATAGGCTTCAGACATTTATACATTATTTGGTCCTTGCACGCCCGAAACAGTAGCTGCAATGCTGTGCATTGTCGGGAAAGGAAGTGGAAAAGCAGCGCAGGTAGCGCAATGCAAAAATATTTACAACTTATGGGTCGCTTCCTCGTTTTCTAGGCGAAGTTGTCCCTACAGACGTAAAATTAGTTGAAACAGTGCAGTTGACAATCTAGGGGGGACTCTCACCGGCTTTCCTCATAGCCCGCGAGCGAGCGCGCCAGCCGGCCGAGGGACTACTCGCCCGGCGGTATTGAGCACGATTCAGTTGTAAACAAGGGGCAAGCGCCGCCCTCGGTCGCTCGCTATCTCGCGCGCTCTCGACCTGGACGGCGGACTATGGAAGCAGTCACTGTTCATTAATCAAACCGCCAGATGATGCATTAAAGCTAAACTTTTCTAGGTGTAGGTCCAAGGTTATGGCTGATCTCTTCGTTACTCAGACTTCCTCAGAGATCCGTAAATTTTTCAAGAATTACACCCTGCCAAAGATATTGTAACAGCTTAAAAAGGTATTGAAGCAATACTTGGCCCGAGATTTATACAGATTTGGTCAAATTTTGCTCAATTTAAATTACATTTAGGTTTGTCATAGCCCATTTCATTGTGTTTACTTTTGTCAGCTATCATTTGTAATTTTGATTTTTTCCTCTAATAGGCTGCATTTTCTCGAGCTGATGTTGCAGTTGGAATTTTTGGTTACTAGGAGGTATGCAGGGACTTCTCATATGCTGATTTCACATGTTACCGAATAAATAAGGAACTAAGTCCACTGTGTTTACATTTGTTCGACCTTGAAGAGCTTGCCACTTTTTTTGATGGTCTCAGTGCCCTGCCAAAGATCAAGCAATGATCCGAGTAAACTCCTGCGATAGTCAAAGTCATGAAAACACATGTGACACG